TGCTCTGTTTGTTCATTTGAGGGATAACAAGCATTGCATTGACTGGGATAATGCCTCCTCAATATTTCCTTGTAATTCAATTGACAGTAGGAACATTATAGAATCTAGTCTCATTAAACATACCGAAGCATTCAACATGAATTTGAGTAATGGTTTGTACAAACTGGATAATTTCGTAATTAAGAAGATTTGTAACCAGGTGAGAAGATTGGATCAGCTTACCCTCTGACCTGACACCGACTGCTGCGGTGCTTTTTGAAGATTAGTAGGGCATTACCTAATACCTGACCATTGTGGACTTGATCTCACCCTCCTCTGTATACATATACAGTACCTTGTTTTGTACTTCCCTTTAGTCTGTACTCACCCCTGAAGATGTGAATTACACGAAAGCGCTTGGGAACTTCATGTTTTCTTTCTTTTCCTTGTGGTTATCAGCATATATATATATATATATATATATATATATATATATATATATATATATATATATATATATATATATATATATATATATATATATATATATACAGTATGAGGGTCTGAGTCCTGGCTGAGGTTGTTGATTATATATATATATATATATTTGTTGTTTTATTCACATCTTCAGTTGCTCTGAAGATGTCTTGAATAAAGACGAAAGCTAAGGTGCTCCGTTGTTTCCATTTTCCCGTGTGATTTTATCAAGATATATCTTATCCACGTTTTCATTGGGATCTACATGATATATATATATATATATATATATATATATATATATATATATATATATATATATATATATATATATATATATATATATATATATATATGTGGCGGAGCTCGTAAGTAGTAGATACTACAGCATACTGTGTCCCCACAGAACTTATCCTATCTGCATGTGCTGCCGATACTGATGACTTATCCACAAGGTCAACCTCAGTGAGAACTAAAATTTTTTGGGTTGATCTGCCTCCATCCACCGTGTTTATTTTCCCATTGCTTCAGTCTCTCAATTTCTCATTCATTGATTGAAAAAACAAAATACTTACCAAACCTTAGCTGACCTAAAATACTACATTTATTTCAGATTTTATTCTCCTGAAATAGAATCCTGCAAAAAAATAAAATAGACTGTAGCTGTAGTCTAAACATGTCACTGTGGAGGGTCGTGCTTGCCGTCTTCCTCAGGCAATTGTGCTCGTTAAAACTGTTATCTCGCTCCCGCATTGTTCCTTCATTTGGGAGGGGCAAGAAAGCAGTAAAGATTTGGTCGCGTACATAATCGGAAATGACTGAACAAAATTGGTTTTTCTTATGTTTTTGAGGATTCACAAGAATATGAACTTTATTTTAGGCGCTGATGTATTTTATGAAGATACGACAGTAGTTTTCTAAAGTGGGCAGGGCACTGAAGACGAAGGAAAATGTGGTAGTAAAACGATACACTTTTTTTTTCGCAACCTGACCTAATGAAGAAAGTGAGGACAACTATAGTGTGCGGTCTAGAAAGATATTTTTAGTCTAACCTAACCTAACCTCTTTAAGTGTTACTATTTCCAGTAGAGACCTTCACTTTAGTTGGGGGTTTATTTCTGCAAGTCCAGCCAAAGTTCAGTCATGGTTTTGCAGATTTGCCGTAGACGCAGAGACATATCTCACTCTCCTGATGTTTAAGGGTCTCCTTTCATACTCCTGTTTTAATTTTTATAATTTAAACTATTTTTGTAAGTTTACACATGATTGTCCCCTTGTTTCCCTACCAGATTTGTTATTTATATACAGTATTGAGAGCAACATATCAATTTAGTATTAATAAAACAAAGCAAAAGAGGGTGAACTCTTTGTTAAGGATTACCATTGTTGTTAACCGAGAGTTTTATCTTTTTTTTTAATGTTATTAAAATATTGTAATTACTAATCTTGTTTCACGCTTTAAAGATCTTTTTGTTGAAGCACAGTAATAACAGCTGACTGTTGTCATCCATGGAATCTACAAATCATGGTAGTCAAATGACCTTTGAATATGCATTGCCCTTCGACCTTTCCTTGGCCTAAAGAGCATAGTGCTTACTCTGCCTGGTAATAATTAGGGGTTCTTGCACATAACTGATATAGATATTTGCTGGGTAATACTCTAGGCATCACACTCGTGGGCAGGATCCACTTTAGACCAATTCTATATAGAAGAAAACTTGTTTCTTATACACTACAGGTATCATGAACCAGCACATGATTTTGCACAGTCAGTAAGCCTCCACTACACCTGTTCAGTTTGGTTTGTGATTACAAGTCTGAGCAAAAGCACGAGTATATGTGTCAGCCTTTACTCTCCAAAACATGATCTCAACTAACACAAGGAAAGGGCGAGTGAGCAAGTGGGAAATTTGAATTTAACATTCACTACTTTATGAGGCTTTTTCGACTTTACTAACCACACACTAACCGAAAGCACCAAATTCCCCATTGAATAATCACAGGTGCCAAGTACAGTAATTAGTAACGCAAAACTATTTATTGTAGATTAACCTAAGAGTTGTTTGGACAAATGATTACCCAAATTTAAGCTTTTTGACCACTGATCCTTAATCAGGGTGTTGATAACTACCAATCCTGAGATTTAAGAACAATTAAATTACTGCCCAAACTACAAGATTAACCCCCGAGTGTTCTTTTTTAATGAAAAATACGTTGTCTTTGAACTAATATAATTATTGTAGTGTGTATTGTGCGTGTGTGTGTGTGTTTATATTTACAGTATACATGAACAGTATTTGAATCTTCAGTAAAGTGGACACGACAAATCTCTATAAAACCACACAAGAAAAGGGAAACAATGGAGCACCTTAGCTTTCGTCTTTATCAAGACATCTTTAGTTACTAAGGTGCTCATCTCTCTCTCTCTCTCTCTCTCTCTCTCTCTCTCTCTCTCTCTTTCTCTCTCTATATATATATATATATATATATATATATATATATATATATATATATATATATATATATATATATATATATATATATATATATATATATTTATTATCATCAAATTTGTTAGATATTTCCACTTTACAGAAGATTAAAATTCAAGACAAAAGTTCGCTCCCTGTGGTGAAACTGAGTCACGGGAATGAATTTTCGAAATTATTTCCCCTGACTATTTTATCTCGTTTGGGGTCGACAGTACATCAATTGGGGAGGGAGTTAACGTTTGACTCCGACTGTACAGTACAGTTACAGTCAAATGTCTTGTCGCTGCTACAGCTTCTCCACTAACCCTGAGATTCAAACTGATGAACCCGAAGCAGTAAACATTGATGCATTACTCTGTCCACAGCTGCTTTGGATTCACGTGTCTCAATCTCTGGGTTTGTGGAGTAGCAGGAGAGCTGACAGGGCATTTGATTGTGACTGTACATATATACATACAGTATATGTGTGTGTGTGAGGGGGGAGGGAGTCCTCTCAGCAGTTAAAGGGAGGAATGAAATCACAGCATGATCCACCCCACAGCCTAATGGACAAGATTTTATAGATTCCTTAAATTAGGAGCCCACCAATGGTTCACCCGGCGAATGGCACATTTGTGGTTTATGGGAATTCAAATCCTCACACACATAACTTGTGTTACGATGGTACCCTTCTGGTAACTGAAAACCAAAGATCATGTAATAACGAACATTAATGTAAGAATCATTCATAGATTTTTTAAAGCGATAAAAAGAAGTCATTTATCAACCACATATTGGTAATTACACACAGTATAAGTTACCTGCATTTTTATTATTATTATTATTTTTTCTTTTGTGGCTGAATTTGGATAAGAAAGAGAGTTGGATGAAAAGGAGTATAGAGGGTCCCCAACTTAATAACATGGTAAAACTCGAAATTTACCGTATTTTATTTACCTGATGACTCATTTTTTACTTTCATTTACTGTATTTTGTCATTCTATTCTTTTGTCTTAAATTAAGTGATTCTAGATGTATATAAGGACTTATCTGACTTAAGAACGTCCTCAGGAACGGAACCCGTTCGTAACTCGGGGACCCCCTGTACAGTACATCAATATATAATTATACAGTACATTATGTACGCCATAGTAATGTAATAGACATTGTTTGAAATGTCACTCAATTTCAATTTCAATTGTTTATTCCTTGATAGAGGAAGCGGGATCCTAGTGCTGTCACTAGGTACCCCTGTACAATGACACCAGAATCATCTGGCAAGTGTGAAAAGTATATACAGTATAAATATTATAAAGGGGCTTACTAAAGCCTAAGGAAGGAAGGATGTTCCTTTAACACATAATCAATATTATTTACAAAATATCTGGCCAGTATTGGGAGGATCATCGTGTCTCCGTCAGGGGGTCGTGGAGTGGTGGTCCAGCAGGCGTCACGGAAGCGTTGTGTGTGGGGACATCTTCGGAGGTGGTGGATAAGGGTGCGGCTGTCGGGTCTTCTGCATAACGCACAAGAGCGTTGCTCAGGGGATGTGGGGATACCAATCTCCCAAGCAAAGTCATACCCAATGATGATACGGGCAGCAATCACGTCCCCCTTCCGCGACCCTTTCCCGTAGACGTACGAGAGGTCAGGAAGTTTACGGAGGACATCGTACCATGTGGGCGGAGAGTCCAGGGGGATGGCTGCTTCCCGAGCTTCTCTCTGTTTGCGGCGGATTTGGGTCCTAATCTGTAAGAGTGTTCGAGGAACAACGTAGTCAGGTGTGGCCTTGTTGCAGCCAGTCTTGGCAAGGTCATCTGCTGCCTCATTCCCCAAGATACCGACATGACTGGGTATCCATAGGAATGTCACAGGGCGGCCTGCATCCTGAAGTGTGAATGTTAACCCTCGTATTCGGAGGATGAGGTCCTTATTTTCCCCTGATCCAAATGCGATCCCGAATGTCACTCTGTTTCTGTGGTTTTCTTATGAAATACAGTAATATTTGGTATATTTTATGTATGCATACTGTATTATGATGAATTATTATTAATATGTGATTTCTTGTTGCAGGCTTTCTTCACGTACCTGTATGGGCTAAGCATACTGTTCCTGCTGTATGTGTTCTGCTATCTTCTCTCAGACTCTGCTCGCGACAGGAACCCCCCAAAACCCCAGGTCTTTATGGTGAGATTGTGTACCAGAGGGCCATTTATTTGGTTAAATTAACTTTCAGTTTCAAATTCTTTAGTTTACTCAGTTGTTATGGTTGTAGGTTTAATTTTATACGAACATTTTATGTTATATTAAAGAGCTTTTTTTGGTTTAAGTGTTGATTTATTTATGAAGTATATATTGTTTTTCATTATGATTAGCCTTCGCTCAGCAGTACTACTGATTGGCTTGTGAAGGGGATAGACTTGACATTAGTCCTTCACGTTGCCTCAGCCTACTGCAGCTTATCACAGCCTCTGCTCCTAAGCTCTTAGCCACTGTCTGGGTGTCTGATCCCTGAATACAGTACCATTGATATTAGCCTTTCCAAGATGCTATATAATAAGTTAATTAGCATTTTGATGTGATAGCTAAAGAATTACATCAAAATTTTTAACAATGTCATCATCTTAAATATCACAGAGAGTACTAGAGATTTTGCATGCTGCTAGTCGTAAATACAATCACTGAGATGTAGGATAATATGTCTTCATAGCAGTTAGGTAAATCAAAGTAAACACTGAGCAAATTTTGTTGAAGTTTACAAGTACATGTTTATATTTCAAGGTACTTTATATGGTTTGTGTCAAGTACTATGCTAAACATTTACAGTAAAAAGAGCCATTTGCAGTACATTGACATTTTCAAAGATTTTGTTGGATTATTTAGCCAGTGGTTAGTATTGAATGAACCTCCTTCTCTCAAGTAATTATGGGATTAAAAACAAAAAGTGATGCCATGATTAAAACTACTGTACTGTCCTTTACTAAAACATTTCTGTACTAATAAGTATGACAAAGCCTTCATCATCATCTCTGGCTTATTGTTGTGTTTAGATCATGTAATTTAACACATTACAGTAGTTTTGTTTGTTTTTCATAGATATGTGATGGCCTCCTCTGTTTCATACTTCTTTGCTGATTTTTCTTTCACTTTGTTTTAGTTCATCTCCATTTTTACTTCTGTTTTTTTTTCCTTTCTCATCTCATTCTCAATTTTACTCCTCTTTTTCCTTCCTGTATTTATCTAGCCTCTTCCTCGTGGTGAATTTCTCCAGCTTCCGACGTTTTTTCCTCTGCTCCCTCTCCAATTTTCTTTCATCTTGTATTTTATGTTGTCCGTACATATTGCTGTCCGATCCCTTATACAGTACCAAATTAGGAAGAAAAAATTACCAATTTTTGTCATCTATAACAGGCAATGTAGTTAAATATATATATATATATATATATATATATATATATATATATATATATATATATATATATATATATATATATATATATATATATATATATATATATATATATATATATATATATATATATATATATATATATATATATATATATATATATATATATATATATACACACACACACACACAGTTGTACCCCGCTTTACGCGGTCAATTGAACCCACAGGGTACCGCGTTAAGTGAACAACAGAACATATGGGATTAATTCCAATAGAGACTTGCCCGACCCCCAAACTCCACTTTTTGACGACACACAACTATGTTGTAGTAAAAATTTTATCTTAACTTTATGGTGGTATGAACAAACAAGTAATATAGAAGAGGTTAGGTTAGGAAAAATAAAGGTTAAGTTAGGAAAAATAAAGGTTAGGTTAGGAAAAATAAAGGTTAGGTTAGGAAAACTAAAAGTTAGGTGTAACACTTACGTTAGTAGAAGACACACACTGCGCAACCTTACAGCGCGGCTTGCCCAGGCGGAGGGAGGCGGGAGGGAGGGAGGAGGAGGGAGAGGCGAGGCAGGCGGGAGCAGCGGGTGGCGGGTGGGGCGAATCTAAAAATAGCGTCTCGAGCCAGACACTCTGCGCGTATATGGGTAGATGAACCGCGTTAAGTGAAAGTTCGGTTCTGGCGAGGCACCGCGTATATGAGAAATCGCGTTAAGTGAAACCACGTAAAGCGGGGTACAACTGTATATATATATATACACACATGTATATAATTTTTTTTTTCTCCAGCTTGTAAGTGAAATGGCATTTTATGGAACTAAATTATTTTGATTCCTGGTAGACATTACATGACTGGCATAGTTCTTCAGCTCTAGAATGGCAGTGGGATTAACCCCAATTATTGAAAAATAAAGTTCATAAAAATCATTTGAATCTTAATATATGCTGTATACAACTGATGTACGCACCATCAAAGTTTGGGGATTGGAGAGAACAAACAGCAAATCTCTCCAATCCTTTGTGAGAGCCTCTTGGGTGGACACGTGACTTGTGGAAAATACCCATCTTTGTTACTCAAATTCCTCTTAAGATTCACTTGTCAAATCTCAAGGAAAATCGCCATCGTCACTTACTATCATTGTCACTATACAGTGCAGTACGTGGGTCATCCATGTCTCCAGAACCATTATAATGATTTCATGGCAGATGTGACGTGCTTTGACTTAATCATGGTCCATTTATTACTAAATTACTAATGGGTGATAGGCCTACACTGTCACTGCCTTGGGACAGTTGCCAGAAATCTCTACAAAGATGCTCAGGAAATATAAAACATGTGAAATTTAAATTGGGCCCACGAGAAATATATTGCAACAGTTTTGGAATATGTCCAGAACAGTGTGACCCACCATCCTGCTTCTGTTACAGTATATATCTGCCAGGGTTTAATTGTTGGTACAGTACCTTGAAGATTACTTGGCATTATGACAAATAGGCAATTCCAAAGGCTGTATCCGAAAGTAGATGCTGAAGCTTTTAGATTATAATCTTCGTTTCATCTACTACAATACAATGATTTGAGAAATGTTGGGAATTATAAACACAAATACAAATAAAATAATGATATAGGTGTATGTCCATTGACTGTTTGGTTTATTTCATTATGAATGCAATAGCAGAACATCTGTATCTGAAAGAACAGGGTTCATAAACTTAAATCAAAATATGAAATTGTAAGTACAGTACAAAGTATTTTACAAATCACCAATGGTCCATTGTTTTAGAAAAAAAAATAGTGTATATGATTGCCAACTTACTAGTATTTTATGGCATTATCTTATACAGTACTGTATACTACCCAGCCAGGTGGTGCCAGTCATCATTTTACACCTTGACAATAGTATTCACTGCTTCCATAGCATGTAGTTGGGAATTAACTGTCTTAAATAACACACACATGGACAAGCCTAGATACTACTCTGTTTCCTTCTATGAAATTCTTTTAATTTTTCTTCTTTCTTTGATAGTTGTTAAGAACCACTGAGCTTGTTGGGAAAAATACTTATGTACTATTAATCCACATTGAGAGTTTCCCTTAGTGTGGCCGTCAGTTTACCGTGCAGTACAGTAATTAGTTGTAGCAGGATAACATTTCGTATGTTAACCAGATATTTACACATTAATCACTAGAATATTGGAAAAAAATATTTATAAGTAGTGAATTGCTATCAATTATGTTATCTATGCATTTCTTCTGGAATGTGGTTAGTGCAAAAGCTTTTCCTTGCCCTGAACTTGTTGATGAGTTTAGAGTGCTCGGCAAGTTAACTGACAGTGCAACCGGAGCATCATGTTCCCACCCCAGAAGGCACAAGTTGCTTGGTGTTACTTTATTGTTGTTGATGACTATTTGTGCTCACAGGGTCACCACTCTGGCCAGTACAATGTGTCCGAGTATGAATATTACGCATACAATGAGGTGAGTCAGCTCAGACCTACCTGGTACCCTCTTAGCCTGGAGAGCTTTTGGCCTGATTGCCCGCATGATGTATTGCTGTGTATCGGGACCTCTATCACAGCTAACAACTGCTTGGCTTATATATTACATATAACAGTGATTGTTTATCACATAGTGAACTGTATGACTTACTAAACACTGATAAAAAATACTTTTATTAACCCCATTGAGCTGACTGAACAATGCAACTTGTACAAAAATGTCTTGTTTTGTTTGATATCACAAAAATAGTTAAGAGACACTGCTTAGTTAAAATAAAATTGTGTTTATAATGCATAATTGTTGAAAAGACTGTACCTGTACACTGATTATTTAAAAGTAACTATTCAAGGAGTTTACCTTCAATGGAGTAAATATATGACCTTAAATGTTTTTAATTACAGAACCAGATAATTCAATTTGACTCTAGGAAGACTGTATTCATTATAAAAAATGTACTGATTAATTACAGGTACTTTGTTACATATGGAGATCTGTGTAGGCACACAATATGCTGCATAGTTGCTATTGCAATAGGCTTCAGTGCATGCACTGTCAGTGCAGACTATTGCACTTGAATTTGCAAGATACATAATTTTAGGACCACTGTTAAGTGTATGTCAGGGTATGCTATGCACCATGCTAATTTCCCATTCAGACAGGCTGGAATATTGTTGATGAGATTTTCTCCCTCTATAGTGGAGCCTTATTTTAAGTTAACTATAATACAGTACTACTGTACAAACAAGTTCACAACCTGGCAGAATGGCACTCTCAGCCTGCCTGGCTCTTTCATGTAGTGGATTATAGTGCCTTCATAACAACACTCTTATTTTCAACTTGTCAGCTATCAAACAAAGTGGTCACTCCTTAAACAGACTCTTATCTTATCAGGATGTGGACAGTTATTATTGATGTGCTGGGTGCAACTATGACTTAGCTTCTAGAAGCTTTCCTGTCTGCATAGACCCTCAACCAATACATTGGCACATGCTATTAACAAATTTGACTCTGGCGACATCATGATAAACTGCTTTTGCTACTCTTAATGTTTCAACTAAAACTTTGCTTAGGGATCATCTACAAGATTATAATTTTCTCTCTTGTGGCTTTCAACTTAGTAGTCAGTGAACATATTTCTCTTCAAGTGGAAAGATTTTATCCAGACGACAGGCTTACGTCTTCTTGTATTCCTAGCTTGCTCAGTCTCATTACTCTCTCTTACAAATTTGCTCAGTCTTGGTAAATAGCTCTTGACTTTATCTAAACTTGCTGCCATAATTTGTATATATCAAGTTTTGTTGAAAATATATTGTGAATCACCAATATATGTAATAATCTAAGACTATCTTAATAATCCTTACCACATGCCTCTGTGTGGTACTTTACTTCACTGTCTGGAAATCTGTGTTGGTTTTAATATTATGTAAATAATGGGGTAACTACCGTATATGTCTAACATCAGTTGGTGAGCGTAAGGTATACAGTATTTTTTCTCTGATTTTTTTTAAGTTTGTATAATTTTTTTTTATCTTTATGAAGTGTTCAGTTTTATGGTGGTGAATATTATTTACTTGAGCAGTAAATACATCTATAATCACTTTATTTAGTGCAAATATCATAAATAAATTACTGATAATATAGTGTTCTTATAATGTTGAAATACTTGTTGATGATATTAGGTATCACTGTTTGGTCAAGATTTCATATTATGCTTCTTTTTTTTCTTTCTTTTTTTTCTCACAGTATTTGATTCTTGACAAATGTAGATATTTTTTACATTTCAATGACAGTAGAAATCCTTTTAATGGCAAATTTTTAGTTAATGGTAGACTAACATAACATGACCAGCTGTTAACTGATTTGTCTAACCTGCGCGGAAAATGGCTGTTAAACGTTGATGATGATTATGTCAGAATAGAGAGGTACTGGAATCTAATAACATCATAGAATGTACAGTCAATAAAATAAGTATCAACATCCCCAAATGTCGATGGAATAGAAAATGAGTGACAACAACTAACAGACACTGGTAACCACAGGTATATCTACAGTACAGTATAATTATAGTTGTCACACAATTTTTCATATTGTTACGCACAGCATGGTGGTTAATATTGTATTTATTTTATTGACTGTACATTATGTGATTTGAGGTTACTGTATTTCTGTCCTCCCAAAATTAAAAAGTATTACTAGTTCTTGTTATGGGGTCAAAGGACAGTGCAGTGTTGCTTATAAAACTCAAGTCTCATTTTTTTTCACATAATGCAGAGTGGCTGGAAATAAGAGCAATTACACTTCAATATTCCCCTTCATTCATTGCCATACATGCATTCTTATTGCTGTAAAGATGTGTTTTGCAATCCATGGTACATACTTCCACAATAAGGCCCCACCCTGTTTGTTTGACCCCTGATAACTTTTTACGATCCAACCTCATGTCTTCCCAACAAGTCATTTAATATCATGTGGTCTCCTCTCAGTCATCTACAATACAACTTCTTTCTGAATGCACTATATCCCTTCCCCTCTTTTCTTGTGCATTCTTCTCCTCATCCTTCCATTTTCTTCTATGATTTCCTCTCTCCAGTCTTCCACCCACCTCAGTTTAATTCTCTACTTTCACCAATACTGTAATTAGTTTGCACTTTTATCAGCACTGTACACACTGCATGTTCTTATCAACTGAGCACACCATTGTACGATCTCTGCCTAACATTTCTTGTGCATTTCCTTGTTTTTGTATTTCTCATTCTCTGCTTCATATGTGTTCTCAAGGATGGCATTTCTGGCACTTCTAATCGACTCATTCCTGTTGTATCCAAATTTTATGTTTTGCACCCTTGTTATAATGGTGGTTTAATGCTTCCCTTTTAACTCTCCATCTTTGCTTCTTATGAGACATAACTTTCTCTCCTTCTCAACCTTCTTACATTTCTCATTTGCTGACACATCAACTTCCAGATATCTGAAACACTCTTAGTACACTCATCTATTCTGTCTCTGTTAAAACTTTTTCAATTTTTCCTTGTCGTCCTTCTTTGCTTGTTTTTGTCATTTTACGTTTGTTCACACTCACTCTCAACTTACTCCAGGTACTTACACTTCCAAACTCATTCATAAACTTTGCTAATTTTCTTCTATATTGCCCTTAAGAGCAGTGTCAATTACAAGCAACAGCTGACACAATGCCCATTTATATCCCCTATCATATACAGTATCACCAGACTTGAAATCCATTCCATCACTTGTCCTTTCACTTCTTTTATAACCCCTCCATGAAAATATTAAACAATATCCTTCACATGGTCCCACATTCTCTGGGAACTGGTTTCTCCACATTCTCTGGGAACTAGTTTCTCCACATTCTCTGGGAACTGGTTTTTCTCATCCCAACTCAAGTTTTCCTACTCGTATGAAAAATTGGGCAACATTCAACAATTTCCCCATTATACTCTGCATTTTCAATTTCCTACATTGCTTCCTATCTACTCATCAATATGGGTAAACCAAATACAGTACTGTAGTGATTTAGGGCCTCTACTGGAGCAAATAAAAAGGGAGAATATGTGTGAGTACTGTACACTGTGTACACTGTATTAGTACAGTATTTGCTTTTGATTTCAGCCTCACTGCATTAAGCATATATACACAGTATATAGTAAAAACACACACACACACACACACACACACAGAGTGATTACAACCTTTTCTCAGTACAGTATAATAACACTGTGCTGTATATCAAATTAGATGCATTTTTTAATCATGAGACAAAATACAATACAGTACAGTACTGCCATGTATTAATTCATTGTCAGATAAAATCAGAGGCATTATATGGACACATAATCTGTTAAATTCTCAACATTCACAATGTGATTTTTTCCTAAAATGTAATCAGAAATTTCTCTAATATTTGCAACTTAGTGAAGAAAGATGAATAGTTTAATCTTTCTGTATCTCCACATAACCTTTGGGAAGACTTACATACTTCCTATAGTTCATGAACTGTTAGTCACTTGGCACCCCCCCAGTGTGATTCCAACCCTCCCCAGGGGGTGCTACAGAAGGTACGACAGCCAGAGGGTATTCCTGATGGGTCCCCTACTCAGGAGAAGCTGACTTCATCTTCCTGCAGTAAGCCACGCAAGCACAAGACCTCTGACAACGAACACAGCCATGGATCATTCTTCCTCAGGATTGGTGCCATTGGTATGTATTTTTAGTTATTTATGCATTGTTTTATGTATACAGGGAGCCCCCAAATTTGCGGATTTTTATTTCGCGGTCTTCTATTATTCGTGGATGACACTGGATGTACCCAAGAATGTCTGTAGGTTGTTTTATAGTTGCCGGCATTTTCGCGGCTGAGACAGGGAGCCATTCGTTCTAGAGACAGTAATTTCCTTTATCTGTATTGTAAATATGTGTGTGTGTGTGTGTAGACACACACACACACACAAAACGCATACAAGTAAAGTACGGACTTGAGGGTAGACTCACATTTTTAATAACTTTTTCTGATTATTTGAGAGAGATTTTCCCATTATTATTTTTGTGTGTGTTTTGTGTGTGTGTATCTACACACACACACACACACACACACATTTATACAATACAGGTAAAAGAAATAATTTTCCTAAGGGCAAACAAATAAAGGGAATATACATGTCTTTGTACTCTAGTAAAAATGACACCCCCCCCCTCCCCCTCCCATCAGCAAAAGTTATTCGTGGATTTGGCGATTTGCGGTCAGTTTGAGAACAACCTAACCCCTGTGTACTGTATAACTGTTTGTTGCGAATAATTTAGGTTCAGTATTCTTGTTGGTAATATATCTAGCTTGTTTTACATAAACTTTACTGTGATAAATGTCATCACTTTATAAGACCATTGCTACATCACACATTGTTTAGTGTATAAAAATAGCTCTATCCATGTTAATTATAATTAGTACTGTATTAGTATGTACTTCAAGTGATTTTTTAAAATTAATTCACTGATAACCTCACTTACTACTTCACAAAGAAAATTGTCAACGAAAACTCTGATGACATCATACATATTTTGATTAAGTTGGTGGGTTACTTCAGAGTAAATGTACCAACACATTATAAATATCAATACTACAGTTGCAGGCTTTTTTTTTCTACATTGGGTATTGACTGATATACAAGTATTTGTAGATTGAGTTGACTTATAAACAGACAAGTGTGTTGGAACTTTCTGATGATATACATGTGCTGGTTTAAATTTGTCAGTACAGTAAATAAAATAATGATGTAGGCAAATAGAGAATGTTATTTGTAATAAAGGAACAATGGGTAATGATCTCAACGGTTTTATACATTTTTCACACTTTTAATGCTGTGTTTGTGAAATCAGAATGCAGGTTGCCTTAAACACCTTTAGATGTAAATATCATCATTAGGTATTCCCTACATGTGGGAACTTTATACCGTACAGTCGTTTGTTTCGGTGTTTTCATGTATTTTATCTCTGCCATGTACAGATGGCATTTCTACATTACCGTAACCAATTTGTTTAACAAGAAAAATGACTTCCATCACACAGTATGAGTGATTGATTTTGCACCCCTCTTTTTTATTCATGTCAGTACACCATCATCCCCCTCACACGTACACATTCTTCATTTGGTATCATTTATTCATTCATCCCTACAGGTGTCTTGCTCTGCTTTTCATCTTATACAACAAGGCCCCAAGATATTTATTTAGTTTATCCTTCTCACTCCCCCAAAACCACTTGACATCATACTCTAGTCTTATACATGAACACTTCTGCTTCCTGAATGACCATTACCCTTTCTTCAATTTTATACTGTGTGTCTTTTATTCTATCTTGTTTTTTTCCTTGGTCCTCCCTCCTCCCCCTACCATCCACCTTCGACCTAGACACTTTAATACCATTGCTTCACTCACTCACTCATTCATTGCGTCTATACCACCTCTCCTTAACCTGATTACATTACTTCTTTCACTACCTTATGTCTTCCTTATTAACTGTACGTATTTCCTAATCTCCGCATCATGCTTGTGCCACATTGCTCTAAAGCATGTTTCTGTATTTTTTTTAATTTACTGCTTCCTATTGTATCCAGAGTTTGTGTTTCACTCTATATACAATAGTAATTATGGCTCATTAGTTTACCCTCTACATTCTAGTCTCTCTCTCCTTAGACACTTTTTTCTTCATGCCTTTCTCAGTTACAGAACCTGTTACTTTCCTTCCCTCCACTACTCTGTGAATCAGGTCATCTCAGATTCTTCCATAAGCTGATAAATCTTCTTCTAGATGTCTGAAATGTCTATAATTTTCTGTTTAAACTAATATTCATTTTTCCATGCTTCCTTTCTCGGTTTGTATTCATCAATTTACTTTTACTTACATTTACAATTATCTTTTTCGTACTGTTTTTTCTTCCTACCTTCTTCTATATCATCTGTTCTTCTGAATTGCCCATATAATCGCTGTCATTTAATACCAGCTGACTGACATTCCATTTCTTTTCTGTGTCACTGTGTATCAATCTTGTACTTCATCCTTTGAAAATTTTTGAAGATCCATGGCAACATTACACGTCCTTAATATACTGTAATCTCTACATCACTGAGAACCAGTTTTTCTTCTTCCCAACACCCTTCTTGGCCAAGGGTCCACTCTGTAAAACTTCAGGACAACATTCAGTTTCCAATTAACTAACTATCTCATATAATTTCCTTACTGCTATTCCATCATCTGTGTCACATTCTTTATAAACATATGTACATAAATGTCACAAAGTCTTTCCTCTCTCCATTTTTTTTCCACACACACTTCTTGACACAAACAATTGACCCTTACAGGCTCCCTTGTTTTTCCTTTTTTCTATGGTGACATTACCATTGACTTTGCCTGAGATATTTAGGTAATTTATTCCTCTTAAGAATTTTTTAAATCATTCATACCACATTTTCCTTTTTACATGGGAACTCTATCTGTGTACTGTATAATCTGCCATTTCATTGGTAGTCGTCCACCTGTCGTGCATAACCTACTGACCGTCCTTTTGTCAGCCATCATTTTTTATCCTTCACCCCCTAAATATCTCATCAGTGATTTCATCTACTCCCAGTGCCTCACCACTGTTAAACATGATTATGGCCACTCTCACCCTTTCTCATTTATCAATATTTCCACTTTTAGAAATATATCTTAATATTGCATTATATAAGATTTACACAAACCTGTGTCATGCAGCCATCAACAGTGTACATGAAAGTGAACCGTCAGATTTATTTTTATTATTATTATTTATTTATTATTTAAAGTGCTGATTCAGTGCTTTTAATTAATATGGTGTTAAATTATCTCTTTCTGCAGCATTTGGACTGGGTACAATGATCTACAATGGTCTAGAGTTTGGAGTATTTTTCGAGATCCCGCTCTCGTCACCATGTTACCAGATCCTGCGGGGTGTCAACCCTCTGCTACAGCTGGTGTTCACGTTTATGCAGATGTATTTCATCTTTATGAATGCCAGGGTAAGTTTAATGACTCTCCTGGGTATGTGTGTGTGCAGTAAATATTAGTACAATTTACGGTACTGTAGAAAAAAAAGCGGTATAATTTATTGTTTCACTGATTTTTTCCATAAAGAATATAGATTTATGTAGATAAGACTTCCTTCAGACATGTCATATTCATATTATGCACTGCAGTATAGTTGTATATACTGTATCCTATGATGGCTTGGTCCCAGAGAGAACTCCCCCTTCTTAGGTGGCAGCATTATAAAGAATCTGCTTTAAGAATATTAAGATACTTTTGAGTGTTACATACTTTTGAAACATTTACTGAAAACTTTCCTTGCTAGTTTGACTATAAGATATGGGAAGCACTCAATGGAAGTGTGAAACAAGGTGTAGAGGTATTTGAGGGTGACCTCGGAAAATGAGTACTGTGCTGTGCTGTGCTGTGCTGTGCTGTGCTGTGCTGTGCTGTGCTGTGCTGTGCTGTGCTGTGCTGTACTGTACTGTACTGTACTGTACTGTACTGTACTGTACTGTACTGTACTGTACTGTACAAGTGGGAAAGTAGAAGGAAAAATGTAGGGAAAGACAGAAAAACACAAGTAAGGACAAAAAGAAAGATAGAGAGTGGAGAAATAGCAGTCATTGAATAGACGATTTGGAGATACAGTAGCGCATAGTTGAGCACCACCCAGTGCTGCTGTGTTAGTTGTGAATACTGTACTGTATATACCAGTGTCATTTTATACATACTGTACAGTATATGTAATAATTCCCACACAAGTATAAAGCACATAAGCATTTTTATACCATAAACATTTAAACAAAATCTACTCCACCAACTATTGCAATAATAAAACTGTGTATCATCCATATTTCATAAATGTTAATTTTAGATATATTGTACAGTGAATATTGTGTTTCCACAGCTAAATATCCACAAGTTCAAATTCCTTGCCCGGTTTGGTTTAATGCACATTGTGGCCACCAACCTGTGTGTGTGGGTGCGAACCTTGGTGCGGGAGAGCCTGAAGGAGATCAATGAGTTTAGGGTCTCCGAGGGACACAGGGGAGAAGACTACATGATCCTTGGTAAGTACCAACTCAGACCATAGTTTCATGTATTAAACCTTCTGAGCATATCAGGTTAATGATGAATGAATATAAGGTAAAGTACTGTACGGCTTATTCCTAAATGAAGAATTATGTGGAGTCCAGTCTCAACTGAGTGATTAATGTTTAATCCATTTATTCTGTTGTTTACTTATAGCTGCAACATCATTTTCTTCAAAGAACATTTATAATCACAAGATTTTTAGGCACATCTGAATCACATGACAAGTAGATTCCAGACTCAGTGGAAGTGAAGAAATAGCGAGACTTCCTTGCTAGTCTATTGATATTTTTTCTTTGTAAAAACTATCTTCACTTATAAATATTTGAAGAGATGTGAAGATGACAAGATGCCATATCACTTCAGTCCTATATAGAAATTAGTAAAGGCTGTCACTTTTTCTTTAAAAAAAATTGATCTCTGCTTCTAGTGCGATAATTTAATTAGCAGGCTTTTTAATAACCCATCTTTCTTTAACTAACCGCTCTTCTGGTGTAGACTCTTTCTGACTCTCTCTCTCTTCTCACTGACAGAGGGTATTCGACGTGCACTGGAAAATCGTGGCCTCTTGGCCCCCAACAAGTACCTCTATAATCTGGACGATTTTGCTGAAATGCAGGAAATCAATGAAACCATGCAGCAGGGTATGTCCCTTGGGACTGAAGTGCACACTTTTGAGCTTGAACCTGGGAAGCTAAACTCTCAGGCTGATTTTTGGCCCCAACACCCTAGTGCTTTATGTATCGATTTTGGCCTGTTATCATAGTACAGGCATGTTATAAATGTTTATCTCGAACATTTTCTGAATGAAGTAATGTGTACTTTACTAGTGTCAGTGGAAATGTAGTTGTTACCCACTAACCTCACAGTACAGAATTCCTACAGCTGTACTCTTCCCTTGATGAATATTTTTGCATCATGTGGTTTTGCATGATAGATTCTAAAGGCTTATAAAAGAGTTTTGGATGTTTATAACATGTACAGGTGGTATTAACAGATATTACACACTGGAATTTTTCTTATTTTTATTGCATGAATTTACCTCTGCAACAATTTAGAGGTTCTTTAAAATTGTAAGCTTTGTAAGTCTTGCAGTTATCCTCTTCTTCCCTTTCAGTTTTACAGATGTTTTTGTTTTTTATTCACTTTTCAATTTTGTGCTCTCTAGTACTGAATCATATTGAGAATACAGAGTATACTGTTTAACTGATAAAAGTATCTTAAATTTGATGATTCAACAGCCAATGGTTGGGTGAGTGAGGAGGACATTGTCAACCGTACATGTGGGCGTGTGGAGATAATGGGTTCCATTGTATCAGACTCTGCCCCATACCTCTACCCCTTCATCGTCGAGTACTCTCTTATTGGTGCTTCAGTCCTCTATATAATGTGGAAGCACATTGGGCGGAATCCAAGGTAGTTTCTTCTTTGTTTTATATAATCGTCATGAATGTTCTTAATTGTGAACATTATTACAATTTTTAGCAGTAAGCGTGTTTCTGTAATTGAATATTTTTAATATTAGGATAAAAATTTTGGTTAAATTTAAACAATATACGCTCTTTTTTTTAAAATGACAGGAGGGATTTACCACTGAAAGAATCATACCTACACGAAAGGTGAAGTATCATTTGTTAATAAAAGATTATTTGAATATGCAGGAACATTTTTTAAAATTTTCTGATATACAGCAAACTTCTAGCATTGAAATAAACTTTAAGACTAATCGATTGACTATTACATTTGGATAATTGTCAATGCATATTTCATTTGTATTAGTTATTGTTCTTTGAGCAAGAGAGAATTTTTTTCAGGTTTGTGTATGACCCGGAGGTGGCAGGAGATGGCATGTCAGTTGTGTCTCGGCGCTGTCATTCCCGTGTGGACTGTGTCGGTGCCAGCAAGGGGCTCTTCTGTGGCCTTCTTGTCTTGGTGGCTTCACTGATATGTCTCATCCTCTTCTTCGTGCTAGTCAACCGAGAAGAGTTAAAGATGCTGGCTATATACCTGGCTGACTGCTCTCACTGTGGGATAATGTTCTTCAGTATCATTGCCATGTTCATTGGTTTTGTCAGGTCAGTTCACAAAAGCAGAAGTACTGTATCCAGTTCTAATTTTCAAGGAGATTGACAGTAGGAGAATAGTTTGTATAACTGAATTTGATTAAAGTAAAAAGAAAGTCTAGAGGAAGAAGAAATAATAGGTCTTGATATACCATAATAGGAGGAGGATTGTTGACCAAGGGTTAAGGAATAGAAAAGTGTTTGAATGTGAACTTATCATATGAGAAGACTTAGAATGATGAGAAGTTTACCACAATGTTTGAGAAAGGTACATTGACAAGAAGGACTGGTTACTCAGAATGTATACAAAATGACTTGTGAGAGGAATATGAAGTTATGAAGAAAGTTGTTGATAATAGAAAGAAATGTTAAGAGATGATAATATGGAGTGAAAATATAAGGGAAATTTAAGGAGAATTCAGTAAATGCATATCGGGTGACTGGCAGGAGGAATGAGAGACGGTATGAGGTGAGACAGCCAGTGGTATGGTATGCAAGACCTCGGTGAGTTGTTGAGCATGTGTAAAGATTATAACAAGGTCACACTGAGGTAGAGATTGCATCAGCCAACCTTTTTGGGTGTGCTTACTGTCTTCACACTCCAGGTTCAATTTACTGGGTATTATCCCCCCCCCCCATCCTTCATTATCTCTACATCTGCAGACTCTACCAAGGCAGTTGATTAATCCACCTATGAGGTCAAGTAATCTTTACCTTACAACAAATTAAAAATAGATACTTCATTTACAAAACTTGATATCTGCAAAGAGTTGTACCCCACACAATTCTAATTTGATAAAAAAGGGTAAAAAAAAAATTCTGGTAAAGTTGCTGAACAGGAATTTTTTAAAAGTTTACCAGATGTACATAAATAACTTAGGTACTGGATTCTCACTCTAGCTGGTATTGAAATGAGTGGGAGAGATGGGGGAAGGACAACTACACAATTTAGGCTGATGGCATGTGGATAGGCATTTCTTGAAAAAAAAAATAAAAAGGAACCTTAACATTTGGATGTTACAATTGTTACATTGATCTTCTCTTTGGCCAAGAGACTTTTATAAATAAAAAACAATAATCAGAAGAATATACTGATGCTTACTTAGTAAATTCCACCAATAAATTATGTTATTGAAAAATTAATAAATCAACCATGTATTGTCAAACAAATGCCAAAATTTTATTTGATAAAGGAATTAGTTTTGTAAAATGCCAATGACTTGGTGATATCATGCTGGTAGTACAGCAGTTACAATACGGCATCAGTGCTGGGCTTGACTGCGTTAAAGATGGATTGTGGCAAATAGTAAACAGTATTATACCATAAATGGAAGTGAATTGTGTAGTCAGAAGATCGTAAGATTTGACACAACAGCAAAGTTTTTCGTATGGTGCAAAGACATCTGAGAAACTTGAGGGGCAAAATATATTGAGAAAAAGCAAGATGAAAATTGCTGCTTGTAAAAAAAATTATTCTTTAAAATGTTCCAGGATGCACAATAATTAGTCTATCAATTTTAAGCATTTGTCCCTGGGGCATGCCCACCCCTACCCCTTTCATTGCTTGAATATTGAAACACATTTACATTTTCCAATGTTGGTAGGTCTGGGAATATGAGATGGTGGATGGTGGGCTCTGATATCTGTAGACCAAGAAGTTTTGGTTTTTAATCTGGGAGCTTCCATTCCATCAGGATGACTATATCTTTGGCTGTTAAAGGCTGTGACATGATAACATATTTGAAAAACTGGTTAGATAAAGAAAACTCACACACCACAAATTCAAAAAAAAATTAAATGAGGCAGTAAATGTGGACTTCCTCCAGATTTACAGTCCTGGACCTCAGTAAGAAGAGGAAGTACATATGTAATTCTTAGTTATCAAAGGGCTTTGGACATTATTATTATTATTGCCTGTTGTCAACATCGATATTACATTTGCTGCTATCCACCATTTGAGAACATGATAATAGCACCCAGGAGTGTAGTTATGACGGAGGGGTGGGGCGGGGCGGGGCGGGGGAGGCATTGCTAAAAATCCCCTTCTTGGAAATTTTTAAGGAAAAAAATAAAAATTTAAAATAGAATTGAGGGTGAAGAACCTTGTCAGATGCAATACTCAAACCAATTATGATTTGAAGTGTCTCCTACTAAAAATTGTAAGTACTGTACAGTCTGATACTGTACCATGCACCTGTGAACCAGACCCTCACTGGTTACATACAAGTGTCCTTCTGCTACTTCTCATGAATACATTTGAGAAATAGGGGTACAGTATTGTTGACAGGGGAAGCAGATAAGGATGTTACTTGATACAGTATTGTACAGGTTGTACCTCTCTAGTCCGGCAACCTCGGGACCTGACCGGTGCCGGACCATGGAAATTGCCGGACCATGGAAATTCACCCGTTTCCTGGATAGATAGTGACTTGTGCTTATGCCTGGAAGCACTAGCACCACTTTCTCTGCGTCATGGTCTCTTTGAAGACATATTGAAGGGTTAAATGTCGCATAATAGCTTCTCAAATTTCGCGAGTTTTTAAGTCTTAACGTATTTTATTGGAACACACAAAAAAATAAATAAATAAAAATTTTGACGGCGGAAACTTGAATTTCGACGGGTTTGAACGGCCCGCCAATGTGCAGACGACGTGCATAATCGTGTAAACAGCGTCATTTCTCTTATGTACAAAAGATTCATTATTGTTTATTACTGAATGTCTTTTTTATTGAATTAATTTTTATGTGTGCAAAATGAGCAATACAATTCATTAATAATACGTAGAATATTAAATCACACGAGGAAATAACACAGCATTGTTTTCGTTGATTACAAAACCAGTGACTGACTGGTTCTACATATAAAACTGAAGAAAATAAGACCTTGGTTGTAGCTGTAGTAAAATTAATATGGTTGTTTTAAGTAATGTTATTTAATGTTAATAAATGGAACAATAGAAGTAGCTAACGATAATGGTAAAGAAAAAAGAGAGATCGCATATGTAAGTGCGCATGCGCACACGTGAAAACATATCGTCATTACTTTACATAAGAATATGAAAGCAACACTTATTTACTGTTCATATATATTTTAATTAATGTTTCTGAATTTGTTTTTATTGAATTAATGTACGTGTGCAAAATTAACAATACAATTTATTAATAATACGTGGAATATTAGAGAGACGAGACGGCTGCCGGCATTGTTTATGTTAAAGCTTACAAAACCAGTGACTCATTGGTTCTACATATAAAACTGAAGAAAATAAGACCCTGAGCTTAGCTGTAGTAAAATTAATGTAAAAAATGAATATGGTTGCTTGAAGAACCTGTAATGTTATTTAATGTTAATAAATGGAACAATATAAGTAGCTAACCATTAATGGTAAAAAAAAAAGTGAGACTGCTCGTATGTAAGTGCGCACATGTGAAAATATATCGTCATTACTCTACATAAGAATATGAAAGCAACACTTATTTACTGCTCATATATATTGAAGGGTTAAATGTTGTACTCTGTATAGACAAGCAGAGAGAGAGAGAGCAGCCGAACTGCCGGATGTAAACAAACCTTAATTTCCCGCGGCTTTTTTTTTTTTAAGGGGATTAGCCCACCCGGGCATAGGTCACTGACCCACATTGGGGCCTGAGGGGCAAAAATTTAATACTCCTGTAATAATAATAATAATTCAGATAAAAAAAAAGAAAAAAAAAGAAAAAAAAGCTGCCTATTTACTTATTGCACAAACTAAAATCGTTCCGGACCACGGGAGTTTCCGGACCACAGAATGCCGGACTAGAGAGGTACAACCTGTATATCCTTGTAATTTTGGTAATCAATCTGTACTCCTCCTACCCCCTCTTCTCACTGCCAACCTCCTCTCTTACCCTTTACTGCCAACCTAATGTCCTGTTCATTATTCCTTATTGCCATTACTTTCCATTCCCATTTTACCATAACTAGCACCATAGCTCATATTTTATCATTAAAATTTGTGAAATCTCAGTGTTGTGTACAAAATTTACAGATCACAGGGCTAGTATTTTACTATACTCTTAATAGTTATGATGAAGACTAGGTTCAATGCACTGTATATCATGTAATACTAATTGTTAAAAGGATTTTTCTCTTATAGTGAAGAAAGTGAGTCTTTATTAGAAGGTTAATGCTTTTTTATTGAGTACATATTATAGTTCTAGGCCATGCATGGGCATCCCACAGCCCAGACCATGTGTTTGCGGCCCTTGGAGTGATTGAAAATTTTTATTTAATGTGGCCCAAGGTTCAGGTAGATGCAACCAGTTTATTGTGAGTAAAGCAATATGTATTAAAAGAATAATCTTCACACACAATTCGTTACTGTTTCATCACGTAAGAGTAACTAACTATGAAAATATAACAATGAAATAAGTATATACAGCTACAGTGGTCCTTCGGTTAACGAGCGCCTCGGTTAACGAGATTTTGGTTAACGAGTTACCTCCGATAAGATTCTTAACTTCGGTTAACGAGCAATCCCTCGGTTAATGAGTTTCTTACGAGCCGACCTCAACAAGTTTTGGCTTGCACTTGGTGGTCAACCAGCTTTAGTATTAGTCCGCCAATACATTAATCGGTTCTAGAGCTTAAATTCCTTACTATTTTAGTAAATATCAAGAAGTTTATACTATTCAATACTTTTAAAGGTTTAATATTAAATCTTTTAGTCATTTTAACAATTATTGAACATAATTGAAGGTAAAGTGACTACTTTAATGAGCGGCATCCAGCCTCTTAACACAGCAAACAAGCGTTAGTCTCTCTCTGTTTTCACTGGAGGTAACATCATGCTTGAGACTCTCTTCAACTAAATGCTTTTTTCTGTGTTTCCAAGCAAATTATTGGTCATTTTGAAATTTATTTTACATATTGACAATATATAGCTCAGTGCAGTGTTATTTTAAAGAAAATATTCTTTATTTACAACAAGTTTAACTTTAAAAAACACGTGTTGACATTGTTTGAATCCAGC